GCTCTGGAGCCCATGAGGTCAGTAAACTTGTGTTAAATCAGCTGCAGAGTTGAGCTGTCATCTTTTATTTGATATTACATCTTTTTCTGTCTGCTTGTAGAAACAAATTTGGGTTCAGAAGTCATCTTCAGGTTCTTAGAAAATTTACCTAAATTGGTAAGCAATTTTGTATTTAATTCCATTAAATTAGCTGATGAATTTTCTTACATAGTCTTCCCATATTTCTGTTACTTGGTTTTCTTTCTGGGCTTATGGAACTAATTAATCTAATCTAATCTAATATAAATATGTAGAAGACAAAGCCTTTGGTAAAAAAGTTAATAATCTTATGTGGATAGCCTACCTTTCTGACATGTGAATATCCTGAGTTAATGCGATGCGTTTTTTAATTGATGTTAAGTTTGATTAATTTGATACATCTTTTATGTAAAAAATAATTTATTCATTTAATTGCCTTTACTCTCATTTTTGCCTTGGAATGTATTGCCTCCTATAAATCTAAAGGCCAAATCAATGGAACGAGAGTTTAAATGGCATTTAATTTATAGTAGTAAACATGGAAAATAAGAAATGTGGCAGCTGAGAAGGTTGACTATATTATTAGATTGGGCAAATATTCTACTTCTTCTTCTTTTATTGGAAGAAGATTAGGCAAGAATTCAGAATTTCAAATTTTGTATTGGAAGACCACATTAATTTCATGTATTTTATTTCAGCTTATTACATTACACATTTAATGATGACCTTTTTATTCATTTACTATAATGTCTTTTTGTAGTAATGTAATACATGTGATCTTCCAACGAGAAATATTACACAAATAGAATTTTCTTCACCTTTTCTTTGCTAGAGTTTTATTCATATATACTTTTTGTCTTTGCAGTTAGATTTTGTTTTCAGAATAGTAATTTTAATCAACTATATCTTGCTATGGGTTTTCTTTTTTCTTTTCTTTTATGTTTTGGTTACTAACTCACGACAAATCTTTTGTAGTGTAAAAGTGAATCTTCGAGCCTTTGTGCGCTGAACATGATGCTGCCAGAGAACAGCTTTCTTTTGTGAGGGATATGGGCTTTAATGAGTTTACTTTGGAGGGTGATTCGATAAGACGATGTTGATTTGCAAGGCTCTACAAGACGCCGAGGGGCGTTGGTTTGAATGCTGGGCTATACGTTAATCAAGAGCCAGATGAGGATGTTCAGATGCTGTGTTCTAAGGCAAGTCGACCTGGAATGGTGTAGTTCATGATCTGGCTAAATAAGTCTCGGACCTCACAGGTTTCCATTTAAATTGAAGAAATCCCTAAGATGTTGGTTGTGAAGGAAGCTTTAGATTGAATCTCATAAAAAGAAAAAAAAATCCATATTTTGGAATTGTTTAGATGTGTAGAATATCATCGGTGAAGAATGATGTTTAGACTTTAGATTCTCTTCAATATGGGTTTGCTACTTTATTATTATATTTTATAAGTTTTGAATTTTTGATTAACCTTTTCAATCTAATTTCCACTCATGGATTATATGTTCTCTGCGGAGAGAAAGAAAGAATCTGTTTCACTGCCAAGGCAGGGGCCAAAGAAAATGAGAAGCAATAAGTTAAACAATTCAACAGAGACCATATGTCTACGACTATCCAAAATCATTTTAATGAATTTTCGATCCATAGCCATGATTAACCAAAAGTGTTGTTGCATTGCTTGAAGAACATGTAAATTACAAAGAGAATCACAGCCTATCTCTTTAATGCAAGAAAAAGAATAAATTACTGACAGGTGGCCCCAGTGTTCTACATACAAGAACGGCCTATCACAGCTATGTAATGAACAACCTTCTGTCGTCTGCCAGAAAATACAAGTAAAGATTAAAGAATTGTCCCCTTTTCTTTTCTGAAAGTTAAGCTAAGGAATCTGAACAATTTCAACTAAAATTTTGTGAAGTGACTGTGGCTTTGAGAAGAATGGGCAGTGGTCACTCCCTTTAATCTTGAAAACTCCCGCTGGTGGGTTTTCTCTTACTAGCTTTTCTTGCACATCTGGTGAAAGGGCCCGGTCATCCAATGTCTGAATATAGAACCGCCGCCCGGTTCCATACTTCTCCGGGGACAATGACAGTTTCTCCATGATAGGACCCAGTGGGGTGGGTCTCATGGAAACCATGGCCAAAGCAACATCCTGGAAGGAACCAAGTACCATGTTTAATAATATGATTCTGTAAATTGGCTACAATGAATCAACTACTTCTCAGGCTTCTCACTTTCGTGAATAGTGATCAGTCCACAATTTTCGTGCGGTATTTAACAGTACAACATGTATGCACACAGCATTTAAACTCGAATGGTATTAACATGTTCAATGCAACATTTCATTCCCCGTTAAAGCCAACATGTCATCAATTAATTTATCTTGAGTCTCTGACCTACATCATAACATCTTCTTACAGAAAACAACATTAACTTGTCTAATGATGCAACTTTGTTTTTTATTTTATATTCTCCACAAACTATTGCATCGTGAGTTTTCATAACCATAATGCAGACCAAACCAAAGAAGAGAACAAGTCACATATACAACAACATAGATTGGCCCCAAAATGGCCATGTCGATGTGTACTTCATAAGAGAAAAGGATGGAAGACCTAGCTAAAAGCATAACTAGTCACAACACATTATGCAAATGTGTAAAGTATGGATTAATGAAATCACCAGCCTAACTGTATAAATGTTTTGACACCATACAAATTTAGAGCTTCAAAGAAATAATTCTCTAGTGCTCCCATTTTCATACAACTTGGATTTGTTGATAGACAGTGGTCAATATTCTGCTGCAAGAAATGAATAACAGAACAATGAATCCTAAACATAGAGCCTGAAAAAGAGCTTCGATAGATTATTTTGCAAAAATGAAGATTCTGCAATGGGAAAAAATGATAATCGGAAATTTCAAGGTTTGCCAGTTTGACACTCTTGGTCAGTAAGGCTACAACATACCTTTGTTGGCGATTGATTGAAATATAACCCTTTCATTAGCTGTTTCTCAAACATGAACCCTGTCGGAGGCTTATCTTTGCCATTTCCATGAATCAAAAACTGTGACTCCTGCATGAAACGTTCAGCAGAACCAAGCTGCAACAAAATTTTTTCGATGAGCCCATGTAACCAGATAAGTAAGAACAATGAAAACTGTGGTAGAACCTTCACTACAAAGATTCAGTAATAATAACTACCAAGGTTGGAATAGAATTG